AACCATCAGTCAGTTGCAAAAGGCAGCTTTACTTGGAACAGCTTATATCCTGCGACGATACCTTTAATACCATCAAACCATCAAACAACATCCGCCTATCCCAGGTCCTTGGGAAGGACTTGATAGGTGGATAAAAATGCCAAATCCAATCTAAACATCTGGCTGACTATGCGACCAACCATAACAACAACAACAATTAAAAAAAAAATTGCTTTGGTGTCCTTATTCAAAATCTCATGAGATTTCAGGTGAGAACTTAAAAATCTTGTGAGAATTGGTAATTTAACAAGGTTGTAGCAATTTAATTACATATTAAATTTTGGGGTGCATAACATTATCTGATGTTGGAGTTCCACCATTCAGGGGGATTGGTCATGTGCCATAGTTCCAGCATATTGCCAACCTTGGCTTATGTTGTGATCCACAAATGCTTTCAGTGACAGTGTAATGATCTGTATAAAGAAAAACTTGGGACCCTTTGATCAGACATGCCTTGCGAAATTTCTGAAAAGTATATATTATAAAATAAGGTGGCCAAAATATTTTTTAGAACTTTAATGACCTTGATTCAATAGTTTATTTATTATGGTGACATGTATGCTACTTAATTTTAAATAACTCTGAGCAGCTTCTATTAAAAAACAAAAGCATGAAGAACAAAATCATGATAGCGAAAACAACTACAGCACCACCAGGAGGAGATAAATAATTTGGTGGCAAAGAGGACAGACTTATCAGCACCAAGAACTTATCCATACTTCTTGCTTGCTTGCCTTTAAAAAAAAAATCTACATTTTGCAGCTCCAGACCCAGCTAAGCAGCCATTCGTACATAAAACAGCAAATGACGCAGCCATTGAAAAGCCTAAAATGAAGGGCAAGGCATGTGGTCAATGTGAGATGAAGCCTGCGTTGCTAGTAAGTAGGTGGGAACACTATTTGCATGCTAGTGGGAACGCTATTTGGATGCTGACTCTGGACAGAAAATATAAATATGAACAAAATTCAAAGATCTGTCAGAAGTATCAAGTTTGTATGTTTATTTTGTATTTGATAGAATCCTGCTCTTATTGCTCTTATTGTTGTCTGTTACAATGGCTTATGTTTTTTAAAAAAACTTTATGAGCTAAAATACTCTTTGCTAATATGCTTCTGAAATTAATATAGGCTTTGCCTTCCTGAATAACTTTTGATCTCTAAAAAAAGAATATTAAAAGCTCTGTGCTAGTATACTAAATTTTCTTAAATTTGTGAGAGCCTCCTCTGGCCTATTCTTTATCTACATGTGGAACTGCAGTGTCCCAGAATGGCCATCTTGCATGGATTTAGAATGCCTAAAATTGAGTAACGTGGTAGACAACTAACAGCAACTGATACGTTGGGCTACAATATTATGAATGAAACTGCTGCTGAAATTATTATGCACTGCATTCTCTTGGTCATGAAAATGGCCTGTGAAATGCATAAAAAATCAAACCTGTTTCACACTGTATTTGGGAGTATTTTTCATCAGAAAAAGTATATTTTCTTCAAAACAAATATAAAGTATTTCTTAGGTTAACATTTCAGACATCAGTGCCATGGAATAGTTACTCCCTTTTAAGAAGTTCTTAGACACTAAACTAGAATGCAATGATTTTTAGAATTTTAGATAGAATTTCAAGGGGAATATCTTTATAATTCTCTTCTCCTCTGGCTCTATTATCCATACTCTGTTAGCATCTGTATGCCACGTGAATTTCATATGTCACCGGAGGGCTCAATTGTCTTGCAGACTACAAATTTTGTTTATTTATTATTAAATTTTGAGGCTGCCCAGCTTAAAAAAGATTCTGGGTGACTTGCAACTGCAAAGGAATACATAATATAAGAAGAGAAAGATGAGTGCTCAGCAAAACCATTCAATATAACCCCCCCCCAAAAAAAAAGCTCAGGGGCTTCACAAATACCCTAACACCAGGCCTCTTACTATATTCCTTTGGAGCTGTTTTCTTATTTAATGTAGGGAGCTGTAAGTACAATCAGGTAAACAGCAAAGCATTTTAGGATCACAAAGGTATGTATTAAAGATAGAGTTTTTTGTTGAAACAACATTTAGCTTGATCCACCACACTGTGTAAAGTATTTCTGTGATGTAAACTGTTACGAAACAGTTTTTTTTTAATGTGAGCTAGTAACATGCATGTATGCAGTGTGTGTGTATGTGTGTGTGTGTATGTATGTGTGTGTGTATATATATATATGCGTGCATGCACGTTATTGTTGTTTAGTCGTTAAGTTGTGTCCGACTCTTCGTGACCCCATGAACCATATTGC